AGAGTTCTTCCAAACACCGTGGTGACACTTCTAAACTCATGCGCTAACTTTTTTAATTATATTTTTTAATTATATTTTTTAATTAAAAACTTGAAGGGTATAATAACGGTTGATGAGAACACCGTGATGATACCATCAAGCTTTCATGGGTTTGAACCTCATCTCCCTCAAATAGTTTATTCCTTTTACATTAATGCACGCCTTTTCATTTTTATTTATATTTAAATAAAAAATAATAGGGATATCACTACGGTAGTTTTGTAAAACCGTTGTTACACATTGGAGCTTCTTTATGAAATTTCATTATGTAAATAATATATCATTATGGTTCACAGTAATGATCGCGATGATAAATTTATATATATTAAACACTCAGTATCCATTTTTCCAATGAAAAAGAAACAAGATAAAACAACCCTAACACCAATGTCGTTGTCATTATTGGGAAGGAAGACAACAACACCGACACAGTATTCTCCTTTACGGTACATAAAATATTTTCGACATTGTTGTCGTTTAGTTTCATTTCAATGTTTAATTTGAATACAAACTCATCCAAAGGTGTTTCTATGTCTTCTTCTTCTGTAAAATCTCGATTTGGAAATTTTTGTGGTTGTGATTGTCATATGGTTCCGTATCAATGCAAGAAGGGACAAAATAAAGGAAGACTTTTTTGGAAATGTCTATTTTGGAGGAGTGATGGGACATGTAATTTGTTCATATGGGATGAAGACATGGGAGAAAAAGGTCGAAATGAAGTCAGATTTATGAAGTCAAAGTTGGAAGCTATGAAAGCTATGGGATATTTGAAGGTTATGTATGAAGATTCAAAGAACAAGAACAAGAATTTGAAGAAAAAACTGAAATCAGAGAGATTTTCTGGAAATTTGAAGATGTTATATTTTTTTTATCTCCTTTATATTTAATGTTTATTTTATTATGAAATGTAATAGTTGAAGTAGGGTTTGAATTGCATTGTTAATGTTGAAATTACAGATGCAGTGTGTTCCTCTGTAGAACAAATATCCGACCGACTTCCCAGAAGACATCTAGGGAGATCCCACTGGAGTGAGTTTATGAGATGATTGGGGGATTTGGGAGCTACGACAATGATGCATGCGTTCTAAGATGAATGTCTTGCTTATCCCTCTGCCAGGATCCCCTTTATAAAGTGAGTACCTTTGCTTCATCAAGAGCATAAGTTAATGAGTTACTCTTAAGTTCCATAACTGTATAACCATCACCATCTCCATGAATGAAGATGATTAGTGTTGTGTAACATGGCAATGAATGTGTCGTTGGTGGTTATATGCTTTAGTGAGCCGAGATGCTGATCGATCACAGGTAGTTGCTACCAGTTATCCACTTTGTCCAATTCAAGGGCGAGGGCGAGTTGCTACGCGAGTCCATGGATTGTATGATACTCCCTTAGCCGAGTTGCACCCTGGGTGCCCTTACCCTAATCCAAATATTAGTTTATCCTTTTCCTTGTCGATTACACTACCCGACAGGGTCTGTTATTTCTGGGATGTACATAATCCCCCTGAGTTCAAGTTCTCTCTTTGTGAGGACGTCGTATTTGGTCACGTAGTCATGAAAGATAATACAAGCGTTACCGGGTAGCGTAGTCGGCAAGGGAAAAGGATAAACTAATAGTCAACTTAGGGTGAGGTCACCCGGGGTGCGACTCGGCAACGGGAGTATCAGAAAATCCATGGACCCAAGTAGCAACTCGCCCTCACCCTCGACTTGAACAAAGTGGATAACGGGGTAACACCTGCTCGTGACTGATCATCATCTTGGCTCATTAAAGCCTATAACCGCTTGCAGCACATTTATTGTTATGTTACACAACACTAATCATCTTCATTAATGGAGACAGTGGTGGTTACACAGTTATGAAACTCAAGAGTCACTTATTAACCGAGGCTCTTGATGAAGCAAAGGTACTCACTATATAAAGGGGATCCCGACAGAGGGATAAGTAAGATATTCATCTTGGGACACACACATCACTACTCTAGCTCCCAAATCCCCCAATCATCTCGTAAACTCACTCTGGTAGGATCTCCCTAGCTGCCTTCTGGGATGTCAGCCGAATATTTATTCTACACAGGAACACAGTGAACTTGACAGGAATGCAACTATCAGACAGTTTCTTACGAGTAAGTTCATCGTAAATTTTTGAATTTTAAATTACAATTATCGTTCAAGTAGTTTTCTATTTTTTATTTCAGGATTTTGAAAATGTGTGTATATCAGTTGATAGATTTTGCAACTAATATTTTAAGTTGATAGTTTAAGTTGATAACCTTAAAAGAGTGAGAAAGCCCTAAAGTTAAGCTGAAAATTAAAATTTCATTACATAAAATTTCATTACAGGAGGCCTTAATAATAAATATATGAATCCTCTGGCCCAAAGATAGTTTGGCCAAGTATAATCTGATTCATCATCATCGTCAGAATAAAAAAATCATCTTTCTTCTCACCCATTCTTCTTTTTTTTCTTGCTCTCCTCTACTTGAGAATTCTCCCGGGTCTCAACAGTTCATAATTCTGAAAAGGCAGAATATCTTCAGCATTGTTGGAAGCTCTCTCAACAATATTGGAAGTTTCGGAAGAAGTACTCATTTTGATTCTTCTTCTTCTCTGATTCTTTGGATAAAGTTCTTTTAGTGTTTTGGTTCAAAGAGTAATTCTAATTTTATATTGTTTCTTCTGGTTCTTCCTCTTCTTTGATCCTTGAAAAATCTAAAAGCCAACAAATTTCACGCATGTCAAGTTTCCTCGAGATGTTGAATGATTATATCTACTTGTCTTTTCATATATATTTTTCTCTTCTTCGATATTCCTACTTACGTATAGTTTGATGTAATACAAGTTTTGATATCAATTCACAAGTGGTGTGTTGCTAATTCTGGTATACTACAAATTAGATTTAGTAATAAACAATATCACAACGATTATTTTTCACTACCATTGTTATAGGGCGTGCGCTTTCCAGTTTACTACTATGATCACTGGATTGTGATTGAAAGTAACACATATATAACCACACGCTACATAATAATGTTTAGACTTGCATGATTATATATAATTTCCAACCGTTGTTAAAGGCCTTTTTCGTAGTAATGTATAACACATTCCTCTGATATCTCTCTTGGAAGGGATCGCCACTTCATCAATATCCCCAAAGAATTTGAACTCCTCATACATATCTTTTTCTCCATATTCATCCGGGAACAAGGTGAAAAAAAGAAGATATTCTTCTACTGCTTGACTTATCAGGTTGGATTTTTTACCTACCTTCATTATCCCACTAGTTTTAGATTGAAAATAGTTTCGCCACCCCTCATCACTTTCCTCCATTCGTAAGCTCCATTGTTGGATGTTTCTGCATGCATGACTTAATGATGATGGGTGATGATATATAGATGGTGAAGGAAAAGTTAGAGAGAAGGCAAAGTTCATCTCTCTAACTTATTTGAAATTTTTTATTTTTTATCTTTATTTTTTTTAAAGGTGAATGTGTTGATTATTTTTAGTTTTGTCTAGTTTTCGAGTATAGAATCGTGAGAGTTTTCTACAACTCTTCATAGAGTGTGGATAGTGATTCTTCTTGGTGATGTTGGGCTCAGATCTTCTTACCAATTTATCGAATTAGAGTATCCCTTATAATCTCCATAATATTATATCATTATAAAAAAATCAAAATAATTCTCTACCGTAAAATTAAGAATAATTCCCGCATATGAATCACTACAAAAAATAAGCTCATTTGCAATGTGATTTTCACATCACAACGTGTTATTAACGACATGAATGATCACGTTGCAAGAGAGCGTGTGACAACTAATTAGTGATGTGATTTTCACTTCACAATTTAGTGATGTGAAATTCACGTCGCAAAATTTTGTACAAATATCAACTCAGGAAAGACAGAACTATTGTCAGTGTGTTGCGACGTGATTTTCATGTCACTAAATTGTGACATGAAAATCACGTCACTAATTTTTTTTTATAAAAAAAATATTTTTAATTAAAATATTATATATTCATTTTCTACTAAAATATAAGAATATGAAAACATAAAATTTGTATTTATTATATACCAATGTGAAAACAACAATAATAAGTATAAAAATCAACAACAACAGTCTAACAATCATATATATAAAATCTGAAAACAAAAATAAATTAAATTAGCTTGGAACAAAATTTGCCTTCAAACCTAAAATTAAAAATCATAAAATAAAAAAAAATTAGAATTAAATTAAAAAAATTAACAACTAAGATGTGAGATGGAATGAGTATTATACCTTTGAGTTAAATGAGTGGATGAAATAAATAAATTAGAATGGTAGAAGAGACGAAGATGAGGTTTGTAGTGGTGGAGTGAAGAAGGAGAGAATAAATTAATTGAAGAGATGAATAAGAAAGAGTTATGTAACTGAATAATTTTTTTTTTGGATTTATACATATTTTTGTGACGTGATTTTCACGTCACAAATTAGTAACATGAAAATCACGTCGCAACTTTACAATGGTCATAAAGTTGTGACAAAGTTGTCACGTCACAAATTAGTGACATCAAAATCACGTCACAACTCAAATTTTGAAAAATTCAAACTTTCCTCTTTGTACAACTTTGACTCTTTTATTTTTTTTATTTTAACTTTTATGTTGCGACATGATTTTCACGTCATAATTTTTTTTGAAATCTCTGACTTCCCATGTACTAATGTGAGTGAAAATATTAAAATCATATAGTGACGTGATAAACACGTCACAACTTCTTTTTTTTTGCTACATGATAATCACATCACTGGATATAATTTTTCTTGTAGTGAATGTATTATTTGTCTTGTAAAAACAAACTGAAATTTGTGCATCTTAAATATGCATTATTATTTTTCAACATAACATCAAAACCAAAGAAATACTCTTTTGGAAAAATTACAACATTGTTGTAGTTTTGTTTAAACATCACCCCTCAAATATCAACGGGGTAATGCAAAAATATTAGGAAACTGCACAAAGAAAAAGGAAACATAAAATGAGCACAACTGCTCTATGAGCTCTAGATTAGAGGTCAACCACTTAACTCATTTACCCATTGCTCAAAATCATCTGCTTGTGAGGACTTTTCATTCTCAACCACCATTGCTTGACTTCTATTCTTAGCTAATTTGTTAAGTAGGTCAGCCATACCCCTCCTCTTCTTCGATCCTGATGTCGACGACTCACAACTTCCCTCAGACGAGGAAAGTTCTGGTGAGTCCCATTTCAAAACCACCTCCCTCTTTGGCTCCGATATGAACACATCGTTGCCAATGAGGTGAGGAAAATTAAGCTTGGCTTTCTGGCCACGCATCTTGAAAGCAGCTTTATCATAAGCCAATGCTGCTTCCTCCTCGGTTAAATAAGTTCCTAACCAAACTCTAGCGCCATTCTTTTTTGGATCCCTTATCTCTGCCGCGAATTTTCCCCATGGCCTACGCCTCAGGCCCTTGTATCGCTTCCATATCGGAGGCGTGCTTACTTCAGGCACCTCTACAGCAATGTCTGAATCACTGCCACATTTAGGGCTTGGGAAAGCTTGATGAGATGTAAGAATGCTGGAATCATCAAAGAGAATGTGTTCCAAATATGCAAAATCTGAGTCATTGGTGGTGAAAGCCATTTTTTGGAAGAGAGAAGTTTAGTGTTTGTGTTTGTGGGAGCACTGAGACAATATTGTGCTATATTCACTTTATTTCTATATATAGCAAAAAACCGTTCTTGGTTTATGGTATTGTTTATTCTAAAATCGACATTGAAACCGCGTGGTGTTATTTCATTGTTTAAATTATAATATTCCATTTATGGTTACTTCTGTGAAACTTCACAGGTTTTTGAGTTGTGAAATGAATATACAATAATTAAAATCTCTGTTTGATAAATTTTTAATCTCTTCTCCCTTTGTTGAATATAGTTAGTTTAATATGTTGTTTATATGGAGCGTGCAAAATTATAATTTGTTTATGAACAATATTATTTTTATATGTTATAACATTCTCCTAGATTTATTTAGCATCTCATTTTCTCTCTTTATGTTACATCATTTATCATAATATTGACTTCTTCTATAGACTTAAGAAACCAAAATGCTTTAAAATTTTCAATTTTGTCCTCATTTCACATTCTGCCACATAAATAAAAACTGGAGAATTTTATTAGTAAATTGATTCCTTTACTTTATTCAAATGCAAATGAGTAAGATTAATGTTTTTTTTTTATTTATAAATTCAAATAAAAAAGAGATCAAATCTAATATATCAATTATTGTTATAATAATAAGAAGTTATTATAATTATTATTTAAAATATAATGTGAATAGTGAAAGTCTTCTTGATAGAGTAATTTAAACTATAACATTTACAATTCAAGTGTATATATATCACGCATTGAGTTCATGTAAATATATATAGAGAAATTTTAAAGACAAATAATACAGTCTCTCATGTCTATATATTTTCTTAGTTTGTTTTAAATATTGGTCTTATCTAAACACGTTATCAGCACAAACGTTTTCATCGAAAGTTTTTACTACACTAGATATAACCATATCAAATCTTAAGCATCAATTCAAAATTCTAAGCATAACTGGGGACAACTTTATAACCTGGAACAACAATTTAATTGAATACCTTACATGTGAGAGACTTAACAAAATACTTGAAGAATAATTATGGAAAATCGACAGACGACCCAGATAAAATGGAAAAGAGAAAGTCAAAAGTGGACAGAATAATCAAACACCATCTTGATGATGGATTGCAAACCGAATATTCAAATGCTAAAGATCCCAAGATTTTGTGGGACAAAATTAAAGCAAGATTTGGATATCAGAAGAAAGTCCTATTACCCTCATTAATGGATCGGTGGAATAAGTTGAGGTTCCAAGATTACAAAAGTGTCGTTGCATATAACTCTGCTATGCACCAGATTATATCACAACTAATGTGGAAAAATTATAACTGAAAAAGAAAAAATGGAAAAACCTTTTTCAACTTTCCATGCATTCCTGGTATTATTGCAACAACAATATAAAATGAGAGAATTTACTGAGTATTTTGATTTAGTTGCGGTCCTTCTAGTGGCAGAACAAAATAACGAGCTCCTTATAAAAAACCACCAGACACGACCCACATAAACAATTGCATATCCTGAAATAAATGCCACAACCTTTAATTGTGGGCGTGATGGCTTTAATCATATTAAGAGACGTGGTGGACATGCTCATTTTGATGGTAATAAAGGTCGTGCCCGCTTTGATGGTCATAGTCAAGGAAGATACCGTGGTCAAAACCTTTTCCACGATCGAAACCATTTCGTGGTAGAGGACGTGGACGAGGTCATATGAATAATTATAGATCTCCCAAATATGAGAAAAATAATTAGAATCGCCAAGGAAATGGTAGGTATATCCAAGAAGGTCCCTCGAGAAATTATGAAGATGTATGCTACAGATGTGAAAAGAAAGGCCACTAGTCTAAGGTGTGTAGAACACCATAATATTTAAGTAAGACAAATGATATCTGTAGAGGAAAAGGAGAAAGAAGTGAATTTTAATGAAATTGAACTCAGAGATGATAATACCTATTTTGAGACTGCTGATTTCGTTGAAGGACCAATGAATTAAATAACTATTTGAATAATGAGTGATGTGCTTGTATTAATTTTACATTTGGACTACGTATCGTCTTAAGAATTTGTATGTGTATCTTATGTTTGCATAATATAATAATATTAAATATGTTATTGATTTACTCTCTATTTAATTTTATTTCTATTTTAAAAGGGTTAAACATGGAATATGTCAAAGACATTTGTATTCCGGACAGTGGAACTACACAAACAATCCTCAAAAGTAAGAAATATTTTACTAAAATAAATTCTACTAAAGGTGTAATAAATACAATCTCAGGTCCTGCAGATTTGATAGAAGAAACAGGTAATGCTACGTTCATATTACCAAATGAGACGAAGTTTGTCATTAATAATGCTTTATACTCTCAAAAATCAAAAAGAAATTTGTTGAGTTTTAATGACATATATCTTCAAGGATATGATACCGAAACTACAACTGAAGGTAACATGAAATACATTAATATCACTGCTAATGTTTTGGGAAAGAAGAAAACTTTAGAAAAACTACCAAAATTTCCTTCTGGATTACATTATACATATATACATGAAATTGAGTGCAATTTAATAGTAAAAGAAGATCCCAAAATAGTGAATTTATGGCATGACTGTTTAGGCCACCCTGGTTCAACAATGATGCGTAAAATAGTTGAAAGTACACATGGTTATCCATTGAAAAGTTAAAACTTACAAAAGAAGAAAGACCATGTGAAGCTTGCTCTCTTGGAAAACTAATAACAAAATATTCACCAGGAAAGATTCAGACATAATCACCTACATTTTTTGAAAGAATTCAAAGTGATATATGTGGATCTATTCATCCACCTTCAGGATCATTCAGATACTTTATGGTATTAATTTATGCATCTAGTATATGGTCATATGTATGTCTATTGTCAAGTCATGATATGACTTTTGCAAACTTTCTTGCACAAATAATTAAACTAAGAGCTCAATTCCCTGATTATACCATAAAGAAAATCAGACTTGACAGTACTGGTGAATTTACATATGAATCATTTAATAATTATTGCATATCAATCAGAATTATTGTTGAACATCTTGTTCCTCATGTGCGTACACAAAATGGTTAGCTGAGTCATTAATTAAACGTCTTCAATATATTGCTAGACCATTGATAATGAGAACTAAACTACCAGTTATTGTTTGGGGTCATGCAATTTTACATGCTGCAACACTCATACGTTTAAGGCCAAGTGTTGTTCATAAACATACCCCTTATCAACTTGCAATTTGTAAAGGAACCTAATATTTCACATTTAAAGATTTTTGGTTGTATAATATATGTCCCAAAAGCTCCCCCACAAAGAACAAAGATAGGACCTCATAGGAGATTGGGAATATACGTTGGGTATAAATCATCATCTATTATTAGATATCTTGAACCTTTAACGGGTGATGTTTTTCAGGCAAGATTTGTTGATTGTCATTTTGACGAAACAAAATTTCCAACATTAGGGGGAGAAAACAAACAATCGGAAAGTGAAATATCATGATTCATTTACTGATTTGAAAAGAGTTACAAAATCACATGTACCAGCTGTAAATGTCCTAGCTCGGATTGATATTTCGAAACTAAATGATGTAGCAAGTACATCTAAGGCACAATTGAAGCGTGACTGACCTATGGGATCCAAAGACAAAAATCCCCGAAAAAGAAAGGGAACAGAAAAGGTAAACTTGATTGAAAGTGATCTTGAAAAGACACTAGATGGTAATAAATCCATGATTGAAAAGCGTGCTCTCAAAGAAGCACAAGATGATGATAATAAGATCATTGATAATGAATCTGAATACAAGAATGGTCTCTAGATTTCAATTAGTTATGTTAATACAGAAGATTTATTGAACCGAGAAGGTATGGATATTGATGAGATAATTTCATTCTTAGTTGCATGCGAAGTTATGAATAAATATGATGATCCCGAACCCCGAACTATGAATGAATGTCAAAATAGACATGATTGAAAAAATTGGAAGGATGCTATAGATACTGAATTAAATTATCTTAATAACCGAAAAGTATTTTTCCCTATTGTGTTATACCCAAAGGTGAAAAATCTGTTGGGTATAAGTGGGTTTTTGTGAGAAAACGAAATGAGAAAAATGAGATTGTCAAATACAAAGCTCGTCTTGTTGCACAAGGTTCTTATCAAAGACCAGTGATCGATTATGAGGTAACATATTCTCCTGTTATGGATGTCATTACTTTTTGTTATTTAATTGGTTTATCAATATTTAATAATTTTGATATGTACCTTATGGATGTTGTTACTGCTTATTTTTATGGATCACTTGATAGTGATATATACATGAAAATCCCAGAAGGATTTAAAAAGTCTGATATATCAAAACTGAAAGAAATGTATGCAATTAAGTTGAAAATATCATTGTGTGGGATAAAACAATCAGGACGCATGTGGTATAATAGACTAAGTGAATATTTACTTAAAGAAGGATATGATAATAATCCCATTTGCCCTTGTGTTTTTATAAGAAAAATAATATCTGGATTTGTAATAATTGTTGTTTATGTTAATGACTTAAATATGATTGGGACTAATAAAGAAATCAAAGAAGCAAGAAATTATTTGAAGAAAGAATTTGAAATGAAAGATCTGGGAAAAACTAGATTCTACCTTGGTTTACAGATTGAGTATACTAAAAATGGTATATTGGTACATCAATCAAGTTATAGAGAAAGGGTATTGAAAAGGTTCAACATGGACAAGGAAAACCCTTTGAGTAGTCCAATGATGGGTATGACACTTAATATTGAAAATGATCCTTTTAGGCCTAAGGAAAGTAATGAAGAGGATCTTGGTCCAGAAGTGTCATACCTTAGTGTCATTAGGGCACTCATGTACCTTGTCAACTATACAAGACCTAATATATCTTTTACAGTGAATTTACTAGCAAGATTCAATACATGTCCTACAAAGAGATATTGGAAAGGAATAAAATAAATATTTC